GACGGGGCAAACGGCCATTGAATATGGGGCTGGAAGAGGTCTCTGGAAGCTGCTTGTCCTCCTCGTCAACAACCCGCAAAGTTGACCAGCGAAATTCGGCATCCTTTTTCTTTTTTCTTTTTTTGGGTAGCCCGCGCACAACAAGCGCGACGACTTTCTCCGTGACGCATACTTGAAGAAGCGAGGCGACAGTTAATTCTAGACACAACCAGTCGGGACGACCTGCACAAATTCTGCACATTTCGTATAGATAGAATTGATGCGAATTTCTAGATGATGACGCCTGATGGTACGGCTAACCTGCCTGTCTGCTGTTTAGCAGATGCAATCCTATGCTTACAGAATCCGACGTGTTCTGCTTATGCACCTGGTCGGTTATAGTCCAGTTCCCTGACCCGCTTCCACACTTCTCGGACAGTGCGCTCCTGGCTCTGTCTGCCACTCTCGCTCTCGGACGGCCCTGCGGGTCTGATAAACGTCAGCTTCCTCGTCAAAGAATCAATAAATCCACTCTTTCTCCAGTGCCCTGCCAGTTGACGCTTCTCCACCAGCAGGTTGGTGTCCGAGCAGGTAAAGGCTCGCCATGTCTGCTTTTTTTTCTTTCTTCTCAAAGTGGATGTGGGAGGAGTCGTCACTTACCTCACAGCCAAGTACAACCTGCTCCCCAATCGAACTTCCTCAATGGGCGCGGTGGCAGGGTCTGCAGGTGGATTGGCCGTCGTGACCAACCCACCCGCTTCCAACAAAATGCAAATGCCAGCTGCAACGTCCCATTCCCAACAGCCGCCCTCCCACCAGATATCAAACGAGCCCATGGCGCAATACGCCAGGTCCAGTGTTGCGCTTATCAAAAGTCAGCCACAGCCACGCACAGCAAACAATCGGAACAGGAAGGCCTCTCGAAATCGGCCTCTACTCACCTCCCCAAACTCCTGACGCCGTGCACCATTCCCCCCTTGCCACCTCGGCCGCCTCTCTCGGCCGCCAGATTCACAAAGCTCTCAACTTTGCGCCACATGTTGCCGTCGGGGCGGTCACGCCGGTCCTTGCCCCACTCGCAGCTCAGCACGCAGCCCGAGGGCGCATTGGCCGGCATTGGCGGCACCGGGTTGCGCATCAGCGGCAGCTGCTGCGTCTCGTTGAACCAGGCACCGCGTCCGCGGCACGCCGTGAAGAGTTGGTTGAGAAATGGCGCGTAGATGACGCCAATGGTCGGCTTGTGCTCAACCACGAAGCCGATGCTGACGCAGAACATGGGGAAAAGGTGGATGTAGTTGACCGTTCCATCGAGCGGGTCGATGATCCATGTGGGCGACTTGTCGACTAGGTAGTCTTTTGATGCGCCTTTGGAGTAGGTTTCTTCGCCAATGAATCTGGAGAGTGGTTTGGTGAGTTTTTGGGAGTCTTGTGTTTTGGCGAGTTTTTGGGAGTCTTGTGTTTTGGCGGGTCACAAAGGTGACATGAAGCTGCGACTGACTTGTGAGAGGGGTATTCCTTAACAATGCTCTTTTTGATAAATGCTTCGACATCTGCTCGAGCACTTAGCAACAAAAGCAGCAAGTAAAACGGGTATATGCCGAGGCATGGCTTCCAGGCTGCATCTTTCTTCTTGTCGGAACGACCAACACATGGAGTTGTGCATCAAAGCCATTTCTTTTGCAAGCATCGACTACCAGATCGAGACAACGATCACGACATACCTTCGTCCGTTTGAGTCACCAGGTCGACGGCGTTCATCTTCTCCACATGTTCCTTCTCTTCCGGTCTTCCAGCCGAGCACCTCGACATGGCCGCTTCGAGCAGCATTTTGCCAGCATCTTTGCCCAGCTGCACGGCAAAGGCATAAATCTCGTCCAGCTCTGCCTGTTCGACTTCGATTGCTGTCATGTTGATGTCTTGTGAGCCGTGAAGGGTAGCTGGAGGGGGCTTGATAAGACGAAGAGAGCCCTTGCAGTCATTGTCGCTTCGGTTATAGCTGTTCCCCTGCTTGGTACGCAGCTCGAATAGACGTCCTGACCCGCATCTGACCGCCACAAAGCGCACAGTCCGCCGGACATGTCCCGCGGCGCTCTGATGGCCGCCAAAGAGCCCGTGCAAGGCTTTAGATAAAGCTGCTTCGCCATCTCTAAAACATGCTCGGAGTGGACCATCATGCAACAATGCTTCAGGAGTCGACTCGACATGTCAAGGGCGTGCTCGGTTGCTCCTTCGCTTGGATTCCCTCTTCTTCAAGACCTCTCAGACAATCATGAGATTGTCGGAATTCATTCCATTCTGGGATGAATGTTTTCCCTGGATCGTGGGGATGTGCTGTCGGCGAGATGCTTTTCGTCGCCATGTCCGCAGGTCGTGTTTGAAACCAGCTCTCGCGACTCTTCAAACAACAAACATACGACCACCCACCGGTCAAGCATTACCAATCCGCTCCTTGTGAAGCGACTCCTCAACGACTCGCATCAGCCATGGCCAAGCGCATTCTCCTCATCAACGGGCCCAACCTCAACCTCCTGGGAACACGCGAGCCGCACATTTATGGAAGTACCACATTGAGCGACGTGGTCAACCTTGCGAAACAGCAGGCTGCAGGACTCGCAGTCGAGGTCGAAGATTACCAATCCAACTGGGAGGGCGCCATCATCGACCGGATTCACGAGGCCCGTGGAAAAATTGACGCCGTCGTCATCAATCCTGGAGCCCTGACGCATACCAGTGTCGCGCTGAGAGACGCGCTGACGGGAATCGACGTGCCCTTTGTAGAGGTGCACATCTCAAACGTCCACAAGAGAGAGCCGTTTCGCCATCACAGTTATCTCAGCGACAAGGCGGAAGCAGTGATTTGTGGGTTGGGAACATATGGATATACTGCGGCGATCGAGTTTGCGGCGAAGCATCTGAAGGTCAAGAGCAGGTTGTAGAGTGGTCGTGGGATGAGGAATGCCAGGCTTGATGCCAAGCAAACGTCGACGTCTACGTCGTCTGAAAGCAAACGGAGAGCTTTCAAGCTTCTAGACGCCAGACCACTTGGAAACCTTCAACCATCCGTGCCAGATAGAAACTTAGAGCATTTGAGCTCCCACTCGTGTAATTGTGACCATGGCTGTCATTACCAAACATCTCGTCGGCGGGTTATTCGGGCAGTGAGGGGGGGAGAGGCTAGAGCGGAACCCTTCCGGCAGGGTTGGCGCGCCTGGCCCCCCAGATTTGCACGTCGGTCGCCATTGGACCATTCAATTCATCAGCATTTATCATCCCCCGACGTCCTCTCATCATCATTTGACTTTTGCACTCTCCGTCCGGCCCAAGTGGACCCATGCCAGTCATATTCAACCATACTTGCACACACCGACCACTCTCGCCGAACCAAGTGCCATGTGCGGGGAGGGCGATCGCGGGGTCAAAACAGCCTCTACGTCTACCTAGTACGCGTCCTGCTGCAGGTGATAAATCAATGCCATGTCCGATCTCTCCAGCTACTTATATCCGATTGATATACAATTGAGCTCGCTCAGAAGTTGCCAAATCCGTGCTGCCGTTCGCCATTCTACAACATGGATCCCTCGGCCGTCGACATTCCGCCTCTCAAAGACTTGACAATCGACAACATTACTGAAAATGTCCACCTCATCAACTCGCGCGCCCCGGACCCACGCCTCAAGTATATCATCGAGCGCGCCGTCGTACACCTCCACGACTTTGCGCGTGAGACGCGCCTCAGCACCAATGAATGGATGACGGGCCTCCAATTCCTGACCGAGGTTGGCAAAATCTGCAGCGACGTGCGGCAAGAGTACATTCTGCTGTCCGACATACTCGGCCTCTCCCTCCTCATCGACTCGATCGACCACCCCAAGCCGCCGGCCAGCACTGAGGGTACCGTGCTTGGCCCGTTCCACACCCACGATGCCCACGAAGAGCCCGGTGGCAGCACCATTTCACACGATCCCCAAGGGGAGCCCTGTCTAGTGCTCTGCACCGTCAAGGACACCGCGGGCCGTCCCATTTCCAACGTCAAGATTGACGTCTGGGAAACAGACTCGAAAGGTTTCTACGACGTGCAGTACGCAGGGCGCGAAGGGCCAGACGGACGCGCGATACTGCGCAGCGACGACGACGGCTTGTTTTGGTTCAAGGCCATTGTGCCCGTACCCTACCCCATCCCGCACGACGGGCCGGTCGGCAAGCTGTTGAAGGTGTTGAAGAGGCATCCGTACCGCCCGAGCCACATGCATTTCATGTTTGCAAAGGAGGGCTACGACCATCTAATCACGCAAGTTTCCCACTGCTCACCCGCCTTCAATCTGCTGACTGTCTGAACTACAGTGCATTGTACCTCCGCAACGACCCCTACGAGACGTCCGACGCCGTATTTGGCGTCAAAGAGACGCTCTTGATCGACCTGGGCACGGTGACCAAAGAGCAGGCCGAGCAGTACGGCTTTCCCGAGGGCGGCAAGCTCATCACGTACGACTTTGTGCTGGTGTCGGATAAGGAGGCGGCGGAACTGCGCGAGAAGAAGGCCATGGAGGCCATGGAGGCCCAGGGACGTCACATGAAAATGTACAATGGCTTGCCTGTGCCAGACGTGGATTGAGGCTGTAGTTCGATTCACTGGTAGGTATAGAGATGCAGTTTATGATGTAACTGTAACGATTTACGTTGAGCAGAGGATCGAATATAAAATGAGAGCTTAACCCTCATCGTTTGGGAATCCTCCAGAAAGTTGGTGCAAATCATCTGTTACTACCTCGCTCAAACAAAGGGATGCCCATTCTTCATTTCTTGGGAGCGCCAAACTGTCGCGACGAGTCTTGAAGGCCCAAGGCAAAACAGACCTTGGATGGTGAGACTTCCAAGGCAAGAACGACTCGTGGCCGGCGGACTCTCGTGCCGTGCCGCCCGCTCGGGCCACGCGCAACGCACGGACTGCATCAATTTTTCAACACCAGCCTCCCAGCCTCTCAACAACCACAAAACGATGGTTTCAAAAGACAAAAAGATAATGATGAGGACGAGACTCGAACTCGCGCGGGTTGCCCCACCAGGAAGCAGATATTAAGGTAACCTTAACCTGGCGCCATAACCAACTCGGCCACCTCACCGGCATCGGTTCAGAAGCTGCTTCTAAGCAGCTGCGCTTGTGTTGAGAGGAAGGCGGTCAACAATCGTTATATATCTCTCAAATTTAAGGCACCGTCCAAACAGGCACGTCGATTGGCCTCGAGGACTTGATCGAGTTCGAGTTCGAGTTCGAGCTCATGGCGCGGCTAGCGTGCCAGCGAAACAACACCTTCTGTCGCACACACGGATAAACGGCGTGTTTCCTTCGGCTGTCAGGGTCGCAGTAAGGACACGGTGCACTAGACCATTTTTGGCTAGCTTTGTACGGGGTGTGGGGTGGTACAGTAACCTCCGACTGTTGACTTGTCCGCTGCCGTGCCTCACCCACGACTTGACGGAAACATTGGCAAACCCAACATGATACGGCGCGCGGTCAAGCCATCCGCGCTTGGTTACCGGCGAGTCTTTTCATCCCTCTCCTGCGCTTCCAATCTAATTTATCTCTAGGACCGCGATTGCTTCAGCGCCACAGCTGCAGCTCAGGCGATCTTACGCCTGGGACGCGTTGGAAGCTACGTATCAGACTCTTGTATGTCAGCTCGAGCTCGCTGCATTTCTTGCATTTTGACGCGGTTCCAGCGCGAACAAGAAGGAAATAAGCCAGCCCCAAACGTGCGCAAAGCAGCAAAGAAATCGGAACCGGTAAGTTTGCAGAGAATCCCACCATCAGCTCAAGCCTGACGGATTGAGTTCCACCCGCTCCTTCATGCCCGCAGACCGGATCCGAACGCAATCCAAAGGTTTGAATTCATCCCGGCCAGCGGCGGTGCACGCGGCAAGTTGGAATTCACTGGCTTCGATCGCCAGGGAGACCAGACCATCCGTGCCATGTAAGCCTGCTGTATCCTGCCCCTCGTTTTTACAAGCCAGAAACTGATCCACAAAGTCCTCCTGTATGGTTAAGGTAATGCCAATCCGGACCGGACTCGACCAAGGACAGAAATTAAGTTTTCCAGGGACAACTGCCAATGCATGGATTGCGTCCATCCAATCACAAAGCAGCGTGAAATTGACACTTTCTCGGTGAGACCTAAGTTTTACTTGCCCGATTCTCCTCTGATTGATTACAGATTCCGGAGAAGCTGTTCATAATAAAGGCCGAAGTAACCGAGAATGAAATATGCGTGCTCTGTAAGAGCCAAATGCGCTCCATCGACGCTGTTTGGATGGCGGCTCATATAACTTGCAGTTAGCGATGGCCATGAGAGCACGTTCACGAAAGATGCACTTATTGCAAGACTGTCGCCTGAACACCAAGATGCAGCAAGACAAGGCGACCACGAGTGAGAACATCCACGTCAAGCATTCTGCTCATGCACTGACTTTTTGTCCAGGCCGAAACTTTGGGGATTCGAAATAAAGCAAAACCCGCCAATGGTGGCCTACGACAAGGTCATGGCCTCCGATGAAGGTGTCAAAGAATGGACCTACCTGATTGTAAGCAAGGAATTTTCTGATGCAGAGACAGGGCTGATGATGCACAGAAACGATACGGCTTTTGCTATGTCGACGGCTGCCCAGTCACGCCCGAGGCAACTCAAGAACTCCTCGAAAGAATCTCCTTCATACGACCCACTCACTACGGTACAAGCTCTTCCTTTGCCGGCCGTCAATTTTACTAACACAAACGCAGGTGGCTTCTGGGATTTTACGGCTGACATGGCTTCGAACGACACCGCGTACACCAACCTCGGGCTCGACGCTCACACAGACACGACGTACTTCACGGACCCGGCACGCCTGCAAATGTTCCACCTGCTTTCCCATGAAGGGGGCGAGGGCGGCGTCTCGCTACTCGTCGATGGTTTCAAGGCTGCCATGGACCTGTGGAAGACTAAAAGCACATACTACGAAGTCATGTCGCGGGTCAAGTTCTACAGCCACGCCAGCGGTAATGAAGGAAAAAGCTTTTTCCCTCAGGAGGCTTATCCCGCATTCATACACAAAGGACACCAGCTGGTCCAAATTCGATGGAACAACTACGATCGAGATGGACTACAACCGCCGTTGGAGAAATTCACTCATTGGTACCTCTCGGCCAGGTAAGTTCGTCTGCAGCATGCTGGTACGAGCCTTGGCTGATGATGCAAAGGAGATGGAACGAACTGATAAAGAGTCCCACGAATGAGTACTGGGAGCAGCTCAAGCCCGGACGGCCACTGAGTACGACTCCTATCATTTTACTTTGCTTCTTTCAATCTGGCTGACCCTGGCACAGTATTCGACAACTGGCGCGTCCTCCATGGTCGGTCGGCCTTTACCGGCCAGCGCAGAATGTGTGGTGGCTACAGTGAGTTTCAGAATCAGAATTGGTGAGCGAGAATTGACCACATGTGCAGTCAACAACGATGATTTTCTCGCGCGGTACAGGGGCCTCCATTTTCCGAACCAGGGTCTTATGCATTGGCAATTGTAAGAGATGACGGCCATGGATTCAAGAACAAGGTCGCATGGATACAGTACAGATAAGTCGAAAGGACACGAGTATGGATAGTTGTCGGCTTGTGGTGCGACAAAGGTCGAAATCGTGACCGAACTTGCTTGATGAAGATACATCTTCAGTGCTTTACGAGGGCGATACTTACCTAGTCTGCTGGCACTTGTTAGTCTTGTCCATATCTATATAGTGTTCACACAAGAAAAAGAATGCAGTGAGCGATGGGGGGAGTAGCAGGAACATTTGCCGCACTGCGCCTCTACATTTCAAACTCAGCCAACAGCATGATTTTAATGGCAGGTCCTGAATCTCTTTCACTCTGCGACATTCCATTTGAGAGTCAGTCGTCGACGTCGTAGTAGTGCAGCTTTTGAGCGTTGATAAACATTCGGACCGGAGCATGATGACATAATCACCGTGGACCGCTAGCGCCATGCCAGTGCCGGGGAGCTTCCATCCACCAGCAACCATCAGCATCCAACTGTCAACCTCTCACCCTCCCCACCTCCGCCATTTGTCACATCCCCAAACGCCTCCAAATCTCATCGACAGCTCGGTCGGAACGACACACTTGCAAAGGCTTCCAACCTACTTTACCGACGCCTCTACGCCACCATGTCTACACTAGAGGACCTCGACGACATTGAGCGCTCCGGCAAGGACGAGGGCAAGAAGGATGGCGACAAGGACAAGGACGGCGGCAAGGGCAACCAGAACGGTGATGCCGACATGAAGGACGCGGAAGATTCAAAAGAGGATGACGTTCTGGACGCGGAGATTCTGGGCCTGAGCACGCGCGACATCATCGCGAGAAGGCGGCTTCTCGAAAACGACATGCGCATCATGAAGAGCGAGTTTCAACGGTTAACACACGAAAAGGCAACCATGCACGAGAAGATCAAGGACAACATGGACAAGATTGAGAACAACAGGTAACGTCATCATCGGTGGCACTGGCTGGTCGCTCCGCGGCACGCTCCTAGCTCCCGCTAACCATCTCCCCACAGACAACTTCCCTATCTCGTCGGCAACGTTGTTGAGATTCTTGATCTCGATGTCGCCGCGGAAGCTGCTGAGGAGGGGGCTAACATCGACCTCGACGCTACGCGCGTGGGCAAGTCCGCCGTCATCAAGACATCGACCCGTCAGACCATATTCCTTCCCCTCATCGGTCTTGTGGACCACGAAAAGCTCAAGCCCGGTGACCTCATCGGTGTCAACAAAGATTCCTACTTGGTTTTGGATACCCTGCCGGCAGAGTACGACAGCAGAGTCAAGGCCATGGAGGTGGACGAGAAGCCGACGGAAAAGTACACGGACGTTGGAGGCTTGGATAAGCAGATTGAGGAGCTGGTGGAGGCAGTCGTGTGGCCAATGAAGGAGGCTGAACGGTTCAAGAAGATTGGGATCAAGGCGCCAAAGGGTAAGTGGATGCGGATTTTGCAGAATCACGACTCTATCTGACTGGTCGGAAACAGGTGCTCTTATGTACGGACCCCCGGGAACCGGCAAGACTCTGCTCGCCAGAGCTTGCGCTGCCCAAACCGACGCAACCTTCCTGAAGCTCGCTGGCCCTCAGCTTGTGCAAATGTTCATCGGAGATGGTGCCAAGCTGGTCCGGGACTGCTTCGCCCTTGCCAAAGAAAAGGCGCCGTCCATCATCTTCATCGACGAACTCGACGCCGTCGGCACCAAGCGTTTCGACTCGGAAAAGTCGGGAGACAGAGAAGTGCAGCGAACTATGTTGGAGCTGCTGAACCAGCTCGACGGCTTCGCATCGGACGACCGCGTCAAGGTGCTCGCGGCCACCAACCGCGTCGACGTGCTTGACCCGGCCCTGCTGCGTTCGGGGCGTCTGGACCGCAAGATCGAGTTCCCTCTGCCCAACGAGGAGGCGCGCGCCCAGATTCTGCGCATTCACAGCCGCAAGATGGCCGTCGACGACAATGTCAACTGGGGCGAGTTGGCGCGCAGCACGGACGAGTTTGGCGGCGCCCAGCTCAAGGCCGTCTGCGTCGAGGCGGGCATGATTGCCCTGCGCTCCGGCCAGTCCAAGATCATCCACGAGCACTACGTCGACGCCATCCTGGAGGTGCAGGCCAAGAAGAAGGAGACGATCAACATGTTTGCATAAAGGGGGATTGGAGGGAGCGTTGCGTGGACATGATAGGCAGACAGGCTACGAGCATTTTAATAGATGAATGGGCTCGTTGCCATGAACCTCGTTTGAACGATGAGGAGTCTCCATTAGTTGTGTACGAAGTTTTGTGGGCGACACGCAGAGAGACTACCTGTCTCTGAAGCACTAGCTCAAACTCCTAATAATCAAATAGCAGAACCTACACCTCGACGCCCTCCCTCTTGTGCACTAATCGCCCTTTAACCCACACAGCCAGCGTATTCCTATCATCGCCATTGAAAACCCACTTGTCGACTCTCTCGGCCCAAGTCTCCCACCCAAAGATATCCACGGGCGATGCCTCCACCCTCTCAGCCGACTCGGCATCGACCGTCTCCGTGTCTTCGATGCCGTCTTGGCCGGGT